GACATTTGACCTCTGCATTGATCCCAGTAGGAGCCTACTAGGAGCAGTCGGCATGCTATTGTACAGCGCCTGGGGAGAAAATAATGGATCATAACGATTTTATGAAGTTTCAAAATGTCACCACAATTATTTGTATTGCTTTATTTTTTTACTCTTTAAATCACATTCCTGCCTATGTATCCCCTACCATGTTTTCCTATATTCATTTTTTGTTATGTATCCCTCTATGCTGGATGGGAGCACTGTTAGTGACGTCCGAAGGGGGACGTCATTGTGCGTCACTGATGCGCTTCCGCTTCTTGCTGCCTGTGTCTCGCGCAGTGTGCGCACTTTAATGATAATGTAGCTCTGATTTATTTCTGAGGCATGACCGAAAAGCTTTTGTTTCCTCATTGTGATTTTATCACACACTATGAAATGACGATGCAGCGCAGAGCGCATGCGCGATATTGGGCAGCAGGATGCACATCAGGAGGTCAGGATCAGAGATGATATAAAAGACTAGAGGTGATCCGTGTTATTCTCCGTGTTCGCTTATATGTCAGCAAGTAAACAGGAAATAACCGAAATATCTCACATTTGATCGAGTATTTCATAATAGGTTGTTGAATTAAAGTTAGGAATATAAAAGTGACATTTAGTTGGTTAGCCTTCATTTTTTTTGTACTTCAATTGCTGGAGGTCTACAGTCCATGTATTGTGTCTGATTCAGTTTAAAACATAAAGGAATAGGCTACCTGCAGAACATTAGCAACAACTGTAATGGCCATGAACCATACACAGCAAAAACCACAGTGTACATTGTACTCTATAAGAGTACATTTAACACCAGTCTCGGGGTGTATATAGGTCCAAGAGTTTGGTATTCTCTGAACACTGTCAAAAGTGTAAAATATAAACTCCAAATAAAGAGTTAGATTTGAACAATTTGGGAGTCAAAATATACTCTGCCTACAAGTAGCTACATTTACTTAATTAGTGTTCCATTTTGAAATATCTCCTTCTCCACCCCATTTCAGAGGAAAATATTGTTAATGCTCTAAGTTTATTTGACTGATATAGTAGCTTTTAAATTTAAGATTTTAAATTTAAAAAAATGTACCATTTACCATGTACCTGGGCCCCCACAGTTCCAGCAAAGAGAGCCCTCTGAGAGGTATTTCCTTCTTTCCTCTCACATGAATCATCTCATAACCACATCAGCCTTCTGGTCCTTTGGGGGGGCTGACACATCGGTTGGAAACCACCAAACAAAGATCTCCACCAGGCTACAGACATCAAATGCATCAGTGTGTAAAACCTAATACAGGTACATTATTCTGCATAACCAGAATACAACTCTGTACTCATAGTGAAGTAACATTTTGCAGGACTTTTACTTGTTGTTATAGAGCAGAGGTGCCCAGTACGTCGACCGGGGGCAATGCTGGTAGATCGCGAGTCATTCATAAAAAAAAAGAAAATCCAGCTCCGTTAAAATAGACTAAACAGGTTTTGATCCCTCCTCCCTTGGCCTCCCTGCCACTTAATTCAGGAGTTTACTTGATTGACAGAAAAAGCGACCTATCGCTTTCCAGTCTGTTAACCCAGAATGCAAAGCGATACAAAATCAGTCAAGTGCCGGGAAAACTCAAATTAAGTTAAAGAGACAAACAAACAAAAATGAGTGCGGGGACTCGAGCAAAAAGCTAAAAAATACCACTTCCACCCAGAATGGGAGGAAGAATATTTGTTTGTGATGTCACATTCAAAGGTTATTTGCCTTATTTGTAAAGCAAGCGTCGCTCTGCCAAAGAAAGGTAACGTGGAGAGGCATTATCGGAGTGTTCACAAGGCATATGACAGCGAACTTCCCTCCGAGTAGCGAGTTGAGAAAGAGAAAGGTCATGTATTATTGCTACACAAACATTATCTCGCAGTCTTAGTGTCGCCAGCTCGTTTCTAACATGCAAAATGACAAACAAATGCGTCTATGGTCGGTGTATTTTTGATCTTTCCAATCGAGACGAGATCTCTCTCCCCCGTCTGTGTGCGAGGGGGCGGGGCAGTTTACACACACGCGGCTGCTACATGCAGCAACACACGGAGGGGATGGCGGAGAGAAGCGCTCCAAGGCAGGGTCGGCGTCATGGGGGGTCATTCGCGGGCCATGCCCCCCCAAATGAGTCACTGTGCCCCCCCAACGCAGGGTGGGCAAGCCTTGCCACTTTGCCGTTTTGTTCTTTTTCTAATCATATAAGTGAAAACGTTTCCACTAAAGGTTTTTTGTGTGAAATACATCAGAAATAAAGAATACAAATATAAAACACAGCCTGAGGTGTGCTCACTGCTGCTCTCTGATTGGTGTGTTGCTTGACCAATGACCCCCGACCTTTTTTTTTGTTATCATTACGTGGCTGAGTGTTAGATGAAAGCCCAGTGGCGATCTGTTCCATCTGTTACACTGATTATACAGTAAAGCCATCAAAAAATAATATGATATACAGTACAGTACAAGTACATGGGTCTCTGTGTTTCATTCAAGCCTCTGTGTGTGTATGGCACGAGCGCATTTTGTGAGGTGCGCGAGCGGTAACGTGGAATGTTGTTGTTAGCATCTGGTTAGCTAGCTATGCTAAAGGATATAAAGGGCTGTTTCTACACCAAGGTGGAGGAGAGTCCTCTCCTGTCAGACTGAGAGGATCTTATAACGTCAGCTCAGTGAGGTAAGGACTCTCTCAGTGTTTAGATAGTTCACTTTAGTGTAAGTTATCTTATCTCAGTGGGTCTCAAACGGTTTGGTCACCATTTATGTAAGTATTTTCGAGGAATACCTTAAGTTTATATGATCATTATAGTTATTAAAGAGAGAATAAATGAAAAACGGGTATGAAATACTATAGGACAGTAACACAAGAATACAGTTTAAAGGGGAGTGATTAGTAAAATATCCATAAAGAAAAAGTAAATCTGTACAGTTCTGTTTCCTATGGATGCTGAGAGATGTAGACTATCCATAGATCTCTTCACTTTGCTCTCAAAGTGCACCAGATTGATGCTTTTAACTTCAATATTTTAAAAATAATCTTCCTGGGGGAGCATGCCCCCAGACCCTCCTAGAGGAGGTTAGGTCCACCCCCACTAAAACATGTTCACATGGACAGGATTACTAAATACATTTGCACACTTTTATATGTTGGCCTATGTCCATATCAAATCAAATCAAGTTTTATTTATATAGCACATTTTTTCAACGATTTTTGGTCGAGCCAAAGTGCTGTACATATAATAATAAATAACCTACAGTAAAGACACTTTACAGCAAATACAACGGCACAGTTTATGCAGAATATCAGTATGAGAAAACGACACCCTCTGTCCTTATATGTTTCTGTTTTGGTGGTCGTTGCCACAAACCGTGCATGTATGCAGAAGTCATAGGTGCGCTATACAATAGCACTACACCCTGCAATGTGTGTGAAAGACAACAGACTTTACAGCATGTTTTTTGAAATTGAAGTTGCGTTGGTGTTTGTGTGTTGGTTGTTGACGGCAGTGTGTGCCCCCCCTTGGTAAATGATTGCCCCCCCATTCGATTTGTTCTAGAGCCGACCCTGCTCCAAGGTGTGGTTAAATGTTACCCGTCTCGATGTGGACAATGCTCCTTGCCAAGAGTGTTTAGCATGTAAGGGCGGTAACACGAGTAATTTGGCGAAACATTTAGCAAAAGTGCACCACATCCAGACGGAGGAATGTACCGGGTTCGACTGTCTTGACATCCACGAGTAACGTTTCCACGTCAGGTGTTAGCACCACACGGAGTTAACACAATTATACAAACATGGGTTAATGAGAGGTAACAGAGTTACTCTTTATTTTGTAAAAGTTTCAGCTATTCTGTTTACAGTTCTGTCATCAAATTATTTAATACGATTTGTTAAAACATTGTTGTTTCTTTTGATGTGAAATATTTTTATTTTTTTTGCAGGTCACCCTTGAAAAAGAGATCTTTTGATCTCAAGGGGCTTTCACCTGGTTAAATAAAGGCTACAAACAAACCATTTATTTAATTTAAATAAAAAGCAATGTTAATTTTGTTCAAAATGTGTTAAGTTAATTTAATAATATATGTATTTTTGAATCAAGTATTAATCTTTATTGTCTTCATTGTTAGTTTCCACATGCCTAAAACAACCTCAAGCTAAATCTAAAAGTTGATGGCTAAATAAGAGCGTTTGAGAAATTGTGCAAGGCGTACAGTAATAGTCCAAATAGTCGATTAATCGTTTCATTAATCGATAGATTAATCGATTATCAAATGAGTCGTTTGTTGCAGCCCTATTGTAGTTATCCCATGTATAAATAAAACGTGTTATTCAGCAACCCTTGCAATTTGGGATTTTATTTTGGTTGGTAGACCTCGGTGAGCTGGTCATTTCAAAAGTAGCTCACCAGCCAAAAAAGTGTGGGCACCCCTGTTATAGAGTATACTAGATTGTTGTATTGGGTTGGCTGTCGCATAAGATCTCAATCATAGTGGGCAAAAAAATGTAGTGTAATTTTAAGATTTGAGGTCACCCGGCCGTCACCCACATGGTCATTTTAGGAGAAGACATTTGATATTATGGTAAGAGGACATTTTTGTGTTTTTTATGTCAAAATGTAAATATCCAGTACTTGTTACTGTTTATTATCCCGCATTAAAATAACAGTGACAACCAACCCCATCGTTTTTGACACCCTTTGACAAATATACAACCAACCCTGTTTTCCCTTCTTCTACGGCACTGATGGGGCGACTCAGCAAGAAATCGAAGCTTTTGGTCCTCTTAGATAATTAGTACTTAAATGATTTTTCCTCTAGTAGAATGATTGGATTGAATACTCCAGCCACCCCTGCTGAATGCATGGATCAGATATGGTTGTGCTGTCAACGGTCTGATCTAGGGCACACCGTTATGCGCATGTGTGTTTTCCCTGTTGGTGCAGGGAGTCATCTTGACGTTTAAACACTCTCTGAAGCTATGGTCGCGAGGTAGATCATTGGCCCAACGTCACATCGCCGTCTCCTTGTTTATAGCTAGTTCTCCAGAAACCTGTTTAAATCGGAGCTGATATCAGTGGCAGCGGTTTGTGAGTGTCTGGGAACATGCATGTCGCGGGGAGAAGGTCGCGCGCGTCCCGTCTATCCTCCTCTCTGTTGTTTACATAGGCTGATTTCCGTTTGTTATCATCCCCCGTCACTACCGACAAGCAGCGATGTACAAGGAGGGGGAAGAGGTGCCGGACGACTGCGGCTCCCGGGAGGAGTGGACGCTGCTCTTCTGGACCTCTCTGGCCGTCATCGTGCCGGTCATCATCACGCTGTGGTGCAGCGCGCAGCGCTCCAAGCGGAAAACGCACATGAAGGATTTCTTCCGTAAGAGCAAGCACGGCTGGCACTACACAGACCTGTTCAACAAGCCCACCTACTGCTGCGTCTGCTCGCAGCACATCCTGCAGGGGGCTTTCTGCGACTGCTGCGGGGTGTGCGCCGACGAGCAGTGCCTGCGCCGGGCCGACCGCATCCTGCTGTGCAAGGAGATCATGGCCCCCTGCGGCCCGGGGGGAGGCATGGAGCACCGCTGGGTGCGCGGAAATGTCCCCCTCGCCAGCTACTGTGCAGTGTGCAGACAGCAGTGTGGCACCCAGCCGAAGCTTTGCGACTTCAGGTACAACAGTATGAGGCCCACTGCAGCTGTGTGTGTCAAATATATGCTGTTGGCTCTTTTTGCAAGGAGAAAGAGACACTGACATCCCTGTAGATTGGTATAGAAAGGCTGTCTTCCTTTCTGCCCTTCTAAGGCTGTCATACTATATGGTGATGCAACAACATTTCATTTAATCTGTCCTTAATTTCCTGTGGTTGCAGGGCACATCATGCTTAATCTCGTTTTGTCTGATAAATGACTGCTAATCCTGATGAGGTCAGGGACATACCTGCATCTCTGCAGCTGGGAAACATTCAGGGTTCTGCTTCCTCCGCAGCTCTTCTGTGTAATTTTTTGCCTTTTCTGATGGCTTTGTGTCCTCCTCCCTCAAGGTGTGTGTGGTGTCAGAACACGGTGCACGATGACTGCATGGACAGCCTGCCGGATGCAGACCAGTGTGAGCTGGGAGAGTTCCACAGCCTCATCATCCCTCCTCACTACCTGTACCAGGTCAACAAGCTGCGCCGCAGGCAGCCTGAGGAGTACAGCCAGGTGAGAGACACTGGGCTCAGGCTGTGGGTCAGGGTGGGGTCCTGGAGCTGTTTCAAGCAATTGTGTGTTTCTTGTGTGTTTCTGCAGCTGGCATCTTGCTGTGGCAGTGGCTGGACTCCAGTGTTGGTCCTGGCTAACACACGCAGCGGTAACAACATGGGGGAGGCTCTTCTGGGAGAATTTCGCACCGTTCTGAATCCTGTGCAGGTCAGACTATTTGTGTCTCAGTTAGACAAAACCATTTAAAGGAATTCTCCTTCCTGGAAATACCCATCTGTACATCAATCACACACCCCTTGTTGCCATGACTTCTTTAAAAAAAAAAAAACATAGTTGTCCCTGTGTGCCTCCCTAGTTAAAAAAAGAATCCAAAAACACAAGTGGTGCATTATAGTTCAAGTTTAATTTATTATTATTATTGTTATTATTATAATTGTTATTATTATATACAGTATACACTTCTATACATTTCTGAATACACAATCCGTGCAAGTCCAAAAGAAAAGTGAGATTCCAGAGAAAGAAGAGTTATTTACTTTTTTGTGTGTGTTCACCCTGGAGGCATGCAAGACAAGTTTCAAGGTAACACACGGTGATGAATGGATATACAAATGGTCATTTTGGCGTTGAAATATTCCTTTCTCCTTTTGTATGTCATCCTTTGTTTTAAAACCTGGTGATGCCTCGAAGACCGTACCTACAGGGTGACTTGGAGAGGGTCCGAGTCCGACCCTTGTCAATTAACTACAGGGGTCCCTCAGGGCTCTGGTCTTGGTCCCCTCCTCTTCTCCCTGTACACAAACTCGCTCGGATCAGTCATTAGCCCGCATGGTTTTTCTTACCACTGCTACGCTGACGACACCCAATTAATTCTGTCCTTTCCCCGCTCAGAGACCCAGGTCGTCGCACGCATCTCTGCTTGTCTAGCTGACATCTCTCAGTGGATGTCTGCTCACCACCTCAAGCTCAACCTTGACAAGACTGAACTGCTTTTTCTTCCTGGAAACCCTCAGTTGTTTCCCCGACTCAGACTGCAAGGAATCTGGGTGTGACCCTAGATAACAACCTGTCCTTCACTGCAAACATCGCTGCTACAACCCGTTGCTGCAGATACACTCTTTACAACATCAGGAAGATACGTCCCCAGCTGACCCAGAAAGCGACTCAGGTTCTGGTCCAGGCTCTCGTCATCTCACGCCTAGACTACTGCAACTCCCTCCTGGCTGGTCTACCTGCATGTGCCATCCGACCTCTGCAGCTCATCCAGAATGCAGCTGCTCGTCTGGTCTTCAACCTTCCAACATTTTCCCACACCACTCCGCTCCTCCGCTCCCTTCACTGGCTTCCGGTAACTGCTAGAATCCACTTCAAGACACTGGTACTTGCTTACCATGCTGCGAATGGATCTGGCCCTTCCTACATCCAGGACATGGTTAAACCGTACACCCCAGCGCGTGCACTCCACTCTGCATCAGCCAAACAGCTCGCTGCACCCTCACAGCGAGGGGGACCCAAGTTCCCATCAGCAAAAACACGTGGGTTTGCTGTCCTGGCTCCAAGATGGTGGAATGAGCTCCCCATTGAAATCAGGACAGCAGAAAGCTTGCACATCTTCCGGCGCAGACTGAAAACTCATCTCTTTGGACTCCACCTCGAGCGATAGAATTACTAACAAAGAACTGCTAACAAAGCACTTATATACTAATAAAGGACTGGCTTATCTAAAGCCAGTTGAGTATCACTTGAAATGTTTGGCTCTATGAAACCTGATGTACTTATATGGTTCTGTTTTCTTCAAGTTTGTATCTTGTTGGTCGAACGCACTTATTGTAAGTCGCTTTGGATGAAAGCGTCAGCTAAATGCAATGTAATGTGATGAGTAGATTTCTGCTCAAATCATGAATCGAACCTGTCTCCTCTCCAGGTGTTTGACCTGTCTGAGCTGACCCCCTCCAAAGCTCTGCAGCTGTGCACCCTGCTGCCCCCCGGCAGCGTCCGGGTGCTGGTGTGTGGGGGGGACGGCACGGTGGGCTGGGTGCTGGACGCCATCGATACCATGAAGCTGAAGGTGGGAGGGCTGTTATTGATGTTGTATGTGCTGCAGTGTGGCATATGTTTAATGACCTGCGTATATTGCACTATTTTTCTTCTTCTCTGTTTCTTCTTGCACTATTCTATATATATATATATATATATATAGTTTTTGTATTTGTTTTATTGTTTCAATCATGTATTAGTGTATTCCACACATGGCAATTATTATAAAAAAACATGTACCCTTTATGCAGGGTATTAAACAACAACATCTTATTTTACCTGCCCCTTATTCAAGAAAAATCAAATAAAAAAGCTGTTCATATATATGTTATATAACTACACTGCAGCCTTTGAATTTGTCGCATCACTTCTCTGTGTCAGGGTCTAGACCAGTTTATGCCCCGGGTGACCATCCTTCCTCTGGGGACAGGAAATGACCTCTCCAACACTCTAGGGTGGGGTGCGGGGTACGCCGGAGAGATCCCCGTGGAACAGGTTCTCCGGAACATCCTCGATGCCGAGGTGGTCAAAATGGACAGGTGGGTCAGTCAGGTGTTCGCACTGTGATAACAATGATCAGCACATACACTGTTCTTTTAGAAGTACAATAAGCTGTGTAGGGATTCTCTGCTTAAGAAGCTTGTGCGCAATGCATCCTGGTACATGTAGTCATGGCTCTGTGAGCAGGAGAACTCTACTTTCTCCGTCACTTTACCATCACTGAGGAATGTAGACTCATCAGGATCAGAACACTTTACTTATCCCCGGGGTGGGGTGTAAACATGTTTAAAATACAGAACATTCAATGCAGTATTAGTATTTATACACATATTTATAATGAAAACCAGTCTATCACCTGAGATGTGCAATGTATTACATTCATTATTTTAAGTTATATTGATATTGCTCACTGGAATAATTCCACGGACTAGACAGCAGTATAAAGTATTGACTACATTTGTCATCAATACTGATATCCACATGAAATGAAAGTCTCAGAAAAGTCATGGACTTGACAGAATTTAAATTTGTGTTCGTCTAATCCATGTTTATTTTGGAAATGAGGTCATAATCTTTTTGATTCTTGACGTTTTTATAAATAAGGGGGAAGTTCAATAACGTACACATTGTGGGTAAAGCCAATTCTGTTATTTTTAGACTACCTTTTAAAGGCGCCATCATTAATTAAATAAAAAAGATTCAACATTTCTCCACAAAAATTGTATTCATGTCCATGTGTATTTAGGAAATCCTAGCTAATGCTCTGTCTACTCTTAGGTGGAAAGTGCAGGTGGCTTCAAAAGGCCTGTACTTTCGGAAACCAAAGGTGAGTTTGATCTGTTGTTATTAACTCTTCTCCTCACTTAAACATATGTAGTGTGATTGAGGCCTCTGACACATATGAAACACACTCCTCAGGTCCTGTCCATGAACAACTACTTCTCTGTGGGGCCCGACGCTCTGATGGCGCTCAACTTCCACGCGCACCGCGAGAAAACGCCCTCCTTCTTCTCCAGCCGCATCGTCAACAAGGTGAGAGAGTCTGAAAGGCTCTTTGCATACACAGATCCTGTGGTTTGCTGCATTTGAATCAGTATATGGAATTGCATTGCCCCTGAATATGCTTCTGTCCCAGTCACAAAATGATCACACTAATGCCTTTCTTTCTGTCTGTGTGTTTCTCCCCAGACTGTATATTTCCTGTATGGCACCAAAGATTGTTTAGTGCAGGAATGTAAGGATCTGGATAAGAGGATCGAGGTACAGTAGCTTTGTGCATGTGAAGCGTCCTGTTCATGCTCTCTTCGTCTGTGCAGTTCAAAAGGAGAGTCACAGATTCAAACAATGTTTTCGATATTCCTGATGTTCTGGGCTGAGGATCACTTTAATTCTTCATCAGGAAGATATCTGCCTCTCAACAAGCAGTCATAAGAAATGATTTAACATGGCTTAAACAACCGGGGGGGAAATAGAAAGTTTCGGGCAGGCTTGCTCTCTTTTAACTTTAAAAACGCGGAATGCTTTTGGGAAGTGGCTCCGAATCATGTTCAATTCCAACTGTGGAACCTTTGTTTGATGCCATTCAACTCTTTATCTCACTCTCCCCAATTCAATACTACCGCTACGTTTATCCGTCTAAATAAGGCAGAATGCCAAAATAAAAACTTGAGTTGTTTAAAAACGCATTGACTTTGAAACGAGGGAACTGGAAGTGCCAAATGCCAACTAATTTACATCATTTAGTACTTAACCCTTTAGCACTTTATTTCTACTCTCCTAGTTTGCTTTGCTATGAGATAAGATAAGATTTACTTTATTGATCCCAATTCGGGAATTGTTCTTCGTCACAGCAGCATATAAACAAGTCATTGCACATTATGTGGAAATAAAACAAGAGAAAAAACTTGAAAAACAAAAATAGAATGTAAAATGTTTACGCTTTGACAGTGAAAGATATATAACTGTAGACTATCTTTGCTATGCTATGTTTTGTGTAAGCTGTGTGTCATTTCTTTGCGATGTAAGAGTGAGCATGACTGGTTTGACACTTTGGTGTGTGTGTGTGGGTGTGTGTATGTTGCAGTTGGAGCTGGATGGGGAGAGGGTGGCGCTGCCCAGTCTGGAGGGCATCATAGTTTGTAACATTGGTTACTGGGGCGGAGGCTGCAGACTCTGGGAGGGGATGGGGGATGAACCGTGCCCCCCCACACGGTAAGACTGGCATCATGTCAACAGCCTGTTCGGCGATATTAAACAGTTTTGCTTTTTGTGTAGATATTAATCAGATGCTTCACAATAAACCCAGGTTGAGAATATGTATGCTCAGGATTTGACCCGTAAAATAATCTAGTAAATACCTCAAAACAAAGCAATACCGTTGAATCTTAACTAATGAGCCGGCCAAAAAATATTTGTAGATCTATTCAAGCATATTTTTACCTATTGTCACATTGTGAGAGGGTGCCTTATTGAAATTATAGTTTTTGATCAGTAAAATAACTGCAATGTAACTATTATTATTTTTTATTGGCGCCCTTTGCATTCAGTATAATGTTCAATAAAAATGTTGAAAATAAACATTTTCTTAATTCAACAAGCAATGTGTTTTTATTCTAGCAGTATAATGAAAGGATCAGAAAACACAACTGAGTACACTTTAATATGTATATCGTAATTAATATATTTTTAAGATCGGCCTTTTTCACATATGTTCCTCATAAAATGGAGCCTTACTGTGAGCCTCAGTGAATGCATCACTGAAATATCAAAAGCAGGAGGGAAAAAGAGTCATCGTTGATGCACTTGTATATGAAATGTTCATGTGTCCCCCCCCCCCCCCCCTGCAGGCTGGACGATGGTCTGCTGGAGGTGGTGGGGGTGTTCGGCTCCTTCCACTGCGCTCAGATCCAGGTCAAGCTGGCCAATCCTGTACGGCTGGGACAGGCCCACACTGTCAGGGTGAGGCAGTAACACGCACACGCACGCGCACGCACACACACACACACACACACACACACACACACACACACACACACACACACACACACACACACACAAAAGGTCCAGCAGCAGTGCTTCCTGTTTAAGTGGGTATGGAGAAACACAATAAGGGAGTCATTCGTTTTCACTTATTTCGCCCTGGTCACATCACATGAAATCTAATTCTGAACTAATCTGATTACGTTTCGCTACCCGGCCCCTGCAGCTGCTTATACACCAACTTCTTCTGCTCATTGAATTGTAATCCTGAAGGATTTGTTTGGATTTTTTGGAACTGGGCTTGTATGACGTTTAGTGGAAATCAATAATGGTTTAAGTGTGTTTGCTATATTTAGAATATTTATACATGATCTCAAACCTGAGGTGAACCTGAATTAAATCTGTAAAACAACTAATAACACAAGCACAAAAAAACGAAGCAATTGTAGCAGCTCCTGTGTTCCATGTGTTTGTATTGATGGAGTCTGGTGGCTCTGAAGAGGTCATAGATAACGTTCCACTTCAGGTAAGGTAAAACAGTGAAAATGCTCTAAATTAAACGATTAAACGGATATATATTTTTTTAGGTTGGGCCTCGATTTTAGATAGCTAAAATACGTGAAGCTTCTGTGCTAGTACTCCTGTCTGTTTCTCCAAAGTGGGGTCATGCAGACGTCCAGCTACTGTAGGAACTACACTGAGCAGGGATAGAACATCCTTTAAACCAGTGTTTCTCAAACTTTTTCATACCAAGGACCACTTAACCAATAAAAAAACACTCGCGGACCACCTAACTCCACAAATATAAAAAAACACATCGTTTTTCTAGAACAGATTACAAATCGCCTGAAAATTGTACAAACAGGTGGCAACATGTGTGACGAAGGTGTTGTGCTGGGCTATATCATGCAATCGAAAGTGAAACTTAACCTCGCTCCATTGCGGAGATATTCCCGCGATAGTGCGGAAAACTTACATTTATTTATTTATTTAAAATGTGAAATTGTACCAATATACTCACGGACCACCAGGGGGCGCTCACGGACCACCAGTGGTCCGCGGACCACACTTTGAGAAGCACTAAACCCTTCAGGAACAATGGGTTCTTTGAGGGACTGCGGGTGGAAATGAGCAGCTCAAAGCTAAATCTGGCATAGTTACGCTTGACACGTTTTATTGTTTTAAGTGTTCATTAATGTGCATTGCCCCTGCTAAATAAACGATTACATTAAATTAAATTTCCACTGCAGCCTGAGACTGACTATACCCGCCCCAGATAGCAAAACATGTAAAAAGGATTTGAATATGAATTATATATTAATATATCTCACATAGTACAAGGTTATCCATAAGCATTTCTGCTAACCAACAGTGAATAGTTGATGTCATCAGTGGAGGAACACATAGTCAAGGGTAGAAAAAGTAAACACATATTGTGAATAGATAGATAGATAGATAGATAGATAGGCTCTTTATTGATCCCAAATTGGGAAATTATTTTGATACTTTTTAAATGTCTTGCATTCATATCAGATTAGCAGATGAAACGTCATAGATTAGAGATGCTGATGCTGTGAGCCTCAGTGAAGCTCACTGTGAGCCTCAGTGAAGCTCACAGTGAGCCTCAGTGAAGCTCACTGTGAGCCTCAGTGAAGCTCACTGTGAGCCTCAGTGAAGCTCACTGTGAGCCTCAGTGAAGCTCACTGTGAGCCTCAGTGAAGCTCACTGTGAGCCTCAGTGAAGCTCACTGTGAGCCTCAGTGAAGCTCACAGTGAGCCTCAGTGAAGCTCACTGTGAGCCTCAGTGAAGCTCACTGTGAGCCTCAGTGAAGCTTCACTGAAATATCATCAGAAAAAAAGCATGATTCATAGTCTATAGTATTTCTTTATATGGAGTGTTTATAAACAATGTGCCCGTCTTGTTCCCCCCCGTGTGTGTTTTTCATGACTTTTTTTAAAAAGTATTCTCAGACAATATAAAAACATTTTCCCAGCCGAGTATTGTATGTATTTTCTTTAAAAGTCCTCTGTCCTCCTTCCCTCTCCAGCTGGTTCTGAAGAGCTCCAAGATGCCCATGCAGGTGGACGGAGAGCCGTGGGCCCAGGGTCCCTGCACCATCACCATTACCCACAAGACCCAGGCCCTCATGCTGTACCACAGCGCCGAGCAGACCGATGACGACGACGAATCCAGCGCCTCTGAGACGGAGAGCCCCACCCCTCACGACTCGCCCAGGCCCCCGGGGCCCGCCTCCGCTCGTGCATGACCCCGCCCAAACATCATGTTATCTGAAGGTCCACTTTTCTTAAGTTTCTTAATCCTTCACCTGCAGTGTATATTCATCTTAAATCTTTGAACACACTTTATCCTCAAACTGCTTTGATGAAAATATGTGTTTCCGTGTAATCATTTCATATATTTTAAGAGATTTTCTCTCTGCCTTTTATCTCCACGCCCCCCAATATTTGTAACCCGTAGTTTAGCCACAGACAGGACAGTCAGGGGGGTGAATGTTTTGGAGAAACCCTCCTGTATTAATTATACTGTATTAACAGTTGAATGCCCAGTGTAGCCCTGCAGGTATCAGTGAGCCATCCTTAACAAGCTGTCCAGGTTCAAACCCCACAAAGCCATGTCTAAATCCACAGCATTATAATAGGAAAAAACAGTGTTGTCAATTATGAAGAGGAGTTTTGGCTATATCCAAAGCTTCATGTCTATATTTTTTACTCCAGAAAGAGCACACGTTTACACAGCACAGAATATCTGTTTATTTCAGGCTCACAGTTATACAGTTATGTTCTCCTGCATTTGTCACCTGTTTCAAGGCTTTGAAATGTGTTAGCCAGAAGGTCTCTGAATCTAAATGGAGCAAGGCCTCTGGTACAACTGCAGTGTGTTGTCAATCACTGGACATTGTTGTTGTTTTGTTTACTTCATGGTGCCCTGTCTCAAGTAGCTCCCAAAACTGCTAGATTGTACTTAGATACAGGAGCTACGGGAAACAGCCAACTTTTATTTTGAAAGTACTGCCAAGTAACTTGTCACAGGATTTTTTTGTGCGTACTGGTGAAACCTTTTTGTTCTTCCTTTTCTTTACATAGTTCCTCCAGTTTACATCTGTTGTGTTGCACTGTTTTCCACTTACACTGATATATACCTTACACTGCTTAGGATGTAGGTTATATAAAGATGCTGGCTGTTGATGTTGCTGCCAAGTGATAACTGCTGATGAGATTAAGCTGTCCTATGTTGTTATTTACTTTATTCAAGTAAGGCTCCTGCATCATTTGTGAATTACTAATGGTCACCACAGGGTGGCAGGCTAAAGACAGTATTTTCTGTAGAGGGGTCCAGAAGAGTTAGACCTTTACTTAAACCTCTACAGTTTATTAGTAATACCATCGGTTACTTGCATGTACTTCTCTGTGTACTGTTCACGTGCACATTGCGCTAACTGTCGCGTTTTACTAGTGGCATCTTTTGTCTTCTCTACATAATGTCTGCAAGAGGTCTTTTGGGTTTCTGCCTATAGGTAGCCAACTTTTATGGAAACGAGTTAGAACTGCAACTACCACCTATTTTTATTATTGACAAATCCGCCCATTATTTAGAAAATTAACTGTTTAGTCGATAAAATGCTTGAAAACTGTTAAAAAGGTCCATTCCAGTTTCTGAATTCCAAGGAGATTTTAAATGTCAAAAATAGATACATAGATATGAACTTGAATAGGATATAAAACAGAGAAATTGAGTACATCTCAATCCTCAAAAGGCTGAAAACAGCATTTTAATTTAAATGTTGTTCAACAATGAATCAATTGAACAATTAATTGCTCATTCATTTGATTTACATCAAATATGTATATATAATATGTTGATTTTTGCATTGAATTGATGCAGCTCTAACATTGATTTCACCCTCTGAGGTGGTCCTGTTTGGTGCAGAACAGTTGCCTGTAGCTTACAGCCACACCAGGAAAGCCTGAATGATGTTGGTTACTGCTCTCTTATTAACCTGAAGCTAACTTGCTACACATGAAGCTGAACAGGGATCAGTTTTTGGCTTATGCTTTTGCAATATGCACCTCCTTGGCAGGTAACCAAGCCTCATGGTTTCATCACCCTATATTTGTTTGATGAATGTCTTATTGCTCAAGGACACCTGTATAACCTTTTACCTTATCATCCGTGTTTACCAGAGTTGTGTGTGTTGTGTTGCACTGAATTAGCGTAAATGTAACTGGGGTTTATTGGCAGGTTGTTAGCCACGCTAGCAGCATAGTTCTGTTTAGAACACTCTTTAGAGTTGAATACCTCTATAATTGTTGGATGCACATTTGTACAGATATTGCTGGTCCTCTGAGAATGAATCCTAATGATTGTGTTGTACTCAGTATTTAGTTAAAGCCACTAATAGGTCCAAAATGTGCTTTACGAAAACAGTTCTAGATGTAATTTCTCTCATCTTAAGATGTAGTTGGAGACTAATGTTAGATAGCACGCTAACATGCTCAATATCAGTCTAATACATATTTACTGTATGTATGACAGCACATGCTGACATGCTAGCTTACCGCCTTAATCAGAGGTAGACCTTAACACCAATGGTTTTGAGCTCAACATGCACTAATACATATTTTTATCTTATAAAATGACCAAGTGAAATGAGTCACTGGTAGTGTCAGACCCAGAGAACTTTCACCAACTCCCCTAAGATTAGCATCTTTCAGTTCATAGGTTTGCTTTTGGCCTCCCTGTTTTGGTTGAATCTCATCACTCTTGTTTTCAGCAGCAGCAGAAAGCTGTTTTCAGCATAAAAAGCTCTGATAACCCCCACTGTATGTTCCCTGCCCTGCACAAATGGCACACAGACAAAGCAGCACCTAGCTAGTGTGCTAGCTTAGTGGCAAAATACCGAGACATTTTCCCGGGAGATGCTCCAGACCCAAACTGAGTTACAAAAAGAGAGAACATTGCAGTTAGGGTTTTCAGATTGCCAAAAACATTACTTTAATGTAATGTTGCTCAATGTCTGCTAGATGTGTAAGTAGGCTTTAGTTTGATTATTATATTTTGCACTGATACTTGATAAAGCCATAATGTGTCAAACGTGTACGTTAATGCGCCTGGATGGGCGAAGCTTTGGTCTGATGAAAGTGGAGGGTAACCTTTTTGACTTATGTAAAGACACAGCTTTTTTGTGATTCCACGATGACATTTTTGTGGAAAGGATTAACAATTGCAAGCTGTTGTTTTCATCTTCAAAGCATCCAACACCTGTTTCCAGGCGTATACTGACACCTCACAAGCTTGCTGGCGTGGCTAAAGACGTTCCCTTGTTCTCTTGTTATGGGTTGAGGGACATGACTGATGTTTGTATACGTTTCCAATTCAAACCTTTCAGTTCATTATTTGTTCAATCTTGGCCGATATAGCAGTATTTATATAGAATCCATTCATCAAGGAAAAATTCACTGTGTTACAAATTGCTTTCGTTAATAATTAATATATATTTGAATATACTTATATTTTCTGCGGTCAAATATGTGTCAAAAAGAGAACCGTAAAGGCTGATAAGAATGTGCCATTTATTTCACTTTGACCAAGATTTATTCTTAAGAGCAAGCCTTACGTGGCCTCTGCTGAACAGGAATGAGAACACAAAGGAACTGTTTTTGGGAGACAACAAGCTTTTATTGGTAATAATCATGTAATCATAGCTGTTTACAAAAATAGGATTTGGTGAACAGGATTTTGACTGAACTGAATGTAATGATCTTTTGAATTGAAAGACATTCCCATAAATATTTTCATATATAAGCCACATGTGTCTGTGTTTTAAGTGGATGTATTAAAAATGACTGCTGCTATGATCTCTAGTTAGATGTCCCAGCAGCCAGAAGCTCACACTGACATTGTAATAGCGGAATATCATTTACATTTTACCACAGGTTGAGTTGAATGGCTTTGAAATGCGGTGTTCATTACAATGTAATTGCTACCATTCTCCATCATTTACACATACACATATTCTCATTTAAAAATATACAGTACCTATCTATAACGATTATTATTCCAATTGAAAAACACCAAATGCTGGCTGCGTGTGTGTGTGTGTGTGTATGCCATTTATTTAAGCCTCACAATAGTGCCCTTCCCTGTCATGTGAAATGATGATCAATAATCTCCACATTAGAAGTCATTTTGATAAGGCTGTGTGTAACTTGCTTCTGTGTTTGTTGTGTTTACTGGTTTCCTTTCATATTTGGCTTATATCCTCCTGGTGCATTGTGTGGCGGCCTTCTGTCCTGTTCTATAGACAAATACAAAAAAGGTTTCTTTATTCATTCATTTGTAGTGTGAGAGTTTTGTCAAACTGAAAATGTCTGAAATCATGCTGGAACTGAATTCTCTAAAGCTTAAGTACAACGCGTGTAGTTATTACTGAAAACTGTAGTTGCTCTTAAAGCCTCAATCTTGACACACAGGCTATTCAGGTTTTGCAAATCTATGACAAGGGCTGTAAGCTAGTACGACATCTGTGACACATAATAATTACTGTAGGAGCTCCTTTCAGGTTTTATAATTAGATTTGTTTTGCTTCTACTGTGACATGTCTCCGTGCTTTAATGTTCAAATAGCTCTTTATTGTTCTCCTACTGCCTGTGCTGCAGCACCTCTTTTCACCCTCTGTCTGAAACCAGAGCCCAGTCTGCTCTGATTGGTTAGCTGGCCGGCTCTGTTGTGATTGGTCAACCGCTTATGTCCTGCTCCTCAGCCTATCACATAATGTTTTGGAGCGCTAGCCAATAGAAACTCATGTGTTTCTTAGTGATATCACTATGTTACAAAAGTAAACAAAGGAGTCCAATGGAAGCGTTTCAGGCGGGGTCTCCTTAACAAACTTGGTCTCCTGTGTGGGCGTGACCTTTAAACAGTCAGGATGAAATAACACATTATTTCTATATCTACAAGTTGTCCAGGCCGGGTTTCATGGAAAACATCCAAGACAAACACACTGATCAACGTGTTCACTGTGCCACCACCTTCATGATAAACACTGGGCCACCACATAGTGAGTACTGTTGACTATTGGCAAGAGAAACTAAATCCACACCCAATATGAATCATTGTGAAAACATGGCAAGTCAAAAAGTGATAGGAATGTTGTTTAAAAACCAGATACAATAAAAGCAAATCTAGACATAGAAGGAGTTATTATGGGGAGCAGAACACTGTCAGAAAAAGTCCTTGTGTTTTGTTTCCTTAATGGGGATCATGCCCTTGGATACCCCAAGAGAGTCAGAGGTCCACTTTCCATATTTTCTCTAAATCCTGTGGGAAACGGTAAGTATGCAACATAAACTGACATTAGTGATGAGATGTTTTGTAGAAAAGCGAAATATAATTACAATGGAAATGGTGTAGTCTCTGTCACTCCATAGTTTTGTTTCAGTGTCCTGGGTTTTATCAGCTACTCTCTGTTGGAGTTTCTTATCATACTGTTACCATATTGTGGGGCCCATAGTCATATATTGCCTGGTAATGGACATGAAACTGCATTATATTGCAAAAGCACTTTGTATTTTTAGGTGTTTTAAAAATGTGTAATTCTCCAATATATATATATATATATATTTTATATATACTTTGATATTTATTAGGTGAAATTATAGTTACAAGGAGTAAAGTTCACAAAGGCACAGACTGCAGCTCAGGGGTCCCACAGGTAGAAGGCAGAAGAGGTAAAGGTATCACCTATAAGACCGTGATTCATTCAGGTATGTGCTTGTGTTTTATGACCTAAGTTATGAAAATATGTATTGAAGTATTGACACGGATGTATAATGTATGTAAACGTGCGCCAAACCAGCGGTAATGCAGATAATGTATTTGTATAGTACTTTATCTTAGTTTTACCATTGACAAGTGTGTCAGGTGCGTTACCTGCTAGCTGGATATGGACTATCTCCTGTAGTGTAACCACTTATAACACGTCTATGATAGGGCCAGGTTCTCCCGCAAACAAAATCAGTTTTACAATTATATTGTTTTTTAAATGTTGCACTTTAATGCTACGATCTATAGCGTGTATTACTGTATAGACTTTGCGATGAGCCCACATTTAGACCAAACGCTATTCAGAACATCACGTAAGAAGGTTAATGCGCGTTACACTCGGCCACCTGTTCTGAGTTTGGAGCCTTCAAAAAATAAATTGACATCAGGAAACTGCTTAAAACCACTAGTTTGAACTACTTAAAACAGTTTAAGGGGATTGTATACAACAGGGAACGGCGTCTCAAGCTGTATTGGCGGTGAGTCGACTATTTCCATATTCATTTGATCTTCTGCTGCTTATTGCGTAATGTCGCTCTGCATGGTGTGAACTTGTTTGCTGCTGTGATCAGCGGTTAGCCAAGTGTAAGGCCCAAGCAATGCTGTTGCTCTCATCTTTTTTGGTTTTTAATGTGTGCCTTTACGCACAAGCTCATGCATGCTGATGTGCACTATGCACATTTGCAAAAGAGGTTTGGATGTTGCTGTTTGTTTGCGTATTTGTGAGCGATGTGCGTCTCTACGCAATGTTATTGTAATTTATGCCGCCCCCACATGACGGCAAAGTGAAGTAAACAGATTTTATTGATGTACATTTTTAACGTGAAACAACATTGTGTGTATGATTGTATCTTACTCACTTGTCTGTTGTCCTGCCATGTATGGAGGATTAAAATGCCAGCCTGTGTGTGTGCCCATAAAAGAATGAATGGGCACATTAAAAGGCATGAGTAACGGCTGGATGGGTGGACGACCCACACTGCGGGACCTCGGTGCTCTTCTCTGCTTCGGAGGCTTGGTTACTTCGGAAACAGGTCAGAAGACATTTTGTGAACCCACAGTCATGGATTAAAATATGTTCCTTATTGTTTATTAACACTTCAGAGATTCAGTAAGCACAATACACACATATTGACTAGAAGATATCCACAAATGTCTTTTTTTATGTGAATAAGAGCTAGGACGTGCACAGTGTGTGTGTTTATCCAACACATGACAGATGTTTTATCATAGGTATCATTATAGAGATGAACATACTATCTTCCGGCTGAGATCCAGTACTTTTAGTTGCAGGTCCTGAGACAGTCTCTGCTTTTTGCTCTGTGAACATTAAATGGACTGCATTAGTACATCTCTGTGGTAATGATTACACAAGGGACAGGTTTTTTGAATACTCAGAATGTCAAATTGTTCCAGAACACCAATACGATTTGCATTTGATCTCGAACAAAACTCGACAGGATTGACTTAATTATCATTTCATAATACATCACAACATGTAAAATATACATGTATATTCACCTGGATTAAGTATCAGCAGTCGGGCCTCAACAGGCTGTTTGAGGATCTCTGCCAGGTGCTGCTTCAGAGCAGCAGAGCAGGCTTGTGATGCTGTCACCTTCTTAGAGTCCAGGTTGACTTGAGGCATGTGAGGGTCAAACTTTACAGCCTTCGGTAAGTTAAATGAAGCCTGTGAGGAACAAGGGGAAAACTAGTAATGAATAGATGAGTTTTTCCCCAAGTCTTTCAAAACATGGCTTTAGGTGTAGGGTAGAGCAGTGGTTCCCAAACGGTGTGCCGTGAGGCAAGTCCGGGTGTGCCGTGGGATTTTGTGACAACCATACGTTATTATTGCAATATACAACTACACACAAATAATTATTTTTTAATTTACTATATCAGTACTTTGTAGCTTTATATGTACGTAATCTGCGCGACTTGCGCATCCACATCTCCACGTGCAGTGCTACATAAACATGGCTGAGTCAGCGATAACTGTCGAGGGGTGGAGGAGGTATGCCCATTATTTTGAGTTCGTCCGAAGAATAGACAGGAATGTGACGGTGAGGTGCAAACTGTGTCCAGGCCAGAAGCTGTTATCCACTGCTGTAAACACCACGTGGTCAAACCTCAACAAGCACCTGCAAAGAACACATGCTAAGGTGAAGCTACCGCACACGCTATTTGTTGTTTGTTTATATCACGCAGTCTGTTCTTCTTCTCTGTCTTCCGGTTGTTGCCTGTTTTGAATGACAAATACACACTACCGCCGCCTGCTGGTAAGGAAAGTTATTGCCACTCACGCATGCGCAGTTCGTACGTGCTCGGCGAGTAAAGTAACGAGTTACTTTATGTAGATAGTAACGAAGTAGTGTAATATATTACTTTTTTTTAAGTAATACATTTATAATTTGTAGTTCAGGACCATGGACAATGCAGCTTCCTTGCATTGACAGTTTTCTGTGCTGAATTTCTGCTGAGTTTACTTTGCCTCATTTTTAATGTTGTGACCTGTCTGGTTTAAATGAGTGTGTTGCTGCTTTGATGAAGCCTAATTTGATAAAGTTTCAAATTAATTTCTGAAATATTTCGTTAATAAATATTTCATGAGTAATATAGTTGTCTTTGTCACATTTTATTTGGCATTAGTAAATAATTATGCACATTTACAGATATTTTACATGATATGAGTGATAACACGTGTTATAAGGGCTATTTTGCACAATAGGTGTGCCTTGAGATTTTTACTTGTCCTTTGGTGTGCCTTGGGCACAAACAGTTTGGGAACCACTGGGGTAGAGCACAATGCATTGCTCTTTTTTTAACAATCACGATGATGCAAGTACGTTTTGTATTTATAAACACTGGTACAAGGCCCGTTCAAAACATGCATGATCAGAACGGGCCGATTGCATCAGCTCTAGTATTGCGCTTCCTTGGGTTTCCTTTTTTTAGCAACCTTAATAACACGTAAATTAAGTGGACTATAGTGGATAACTCAATTATGTACAAGTATTAGTAAGGATCCCTTTAATACACTACACGGTGTGTACATACCGCACTAGTGTGAAATTTATGGGAGGAACCGTTATCGAGAAAAACAAAGAATAAACATGGAGACAGAGACTCCTTCCATCTTAGTTAGATGTCGTTTTTCAAGCTGAGGTATGAAAAGGTTGAAACAATCCAAAATATATTTCATTCACTATTAAATATCACGCTACAGCATTTCAGAAAACACTACAGCATTTCAGAAAACACTACAGCATTTCAGAAAACAGAGTCAGCCAGAGAAGCACTGCTGTGATTGGTTGTTTTTGCTGCCAGTCAAGAAATGACGCTTCGTGATTGGTCAGCACCCAACAGCGCAACATGTCCCAACACATCAGCCATTAGCTGTTAGCACACACAAAGAGCTCGCAGCTGCTCATATCTGTTCAGAAACTGGACAAAAGTTAAACAAGTACAAAACACAGACTGTCTGTCTATGTCCTGACAAATACAGTCG